CAGCCTAACTAATTTTGGTTAGATCCGGATGTTTGGGTACGACATCTATGGGAAAACCGGTAAACCCACAAATGAAGAATAATTTTTATGCATTTGCCCCTGTAGGTATTGAACTAGGGACATGTGTTTGGCAACCTGGAAGCACTATCCACTGTGCTATGGACCCACAGGTCTATAATAAATATATTTTTAAACAATAAAATATAATTTATTAAATATATAAAAATATAATATAAATATTTGAAGTTTTGATATCAATTCTTCTAAAAGTTTTTGGAATAAATTAAAACATAGAATATATAAACATATACTATTACCAACTAGTGAAATCAAATTGTTTAACTTTTACAATAAAATAATTTTAAATAGATAATACTGTATTTATCAAAATCTTATAATTAATATATTATCCCCATAAATTACATCTAAAGACTTAATGTTGTAGATGGATGAGCTGGGTTGAGAAAATTTATACATACAATTTTAATTATAATGGTTCATTATGATTTAATAAATAAACAACTCCAGCCTAATTGAGAGTTTAAAAAAAAGCAAATCTCGTAATTAATATGTTTAATTATTAGAAGCATCGTGCCGATCCAACCTGTATTGTTACGTGTAATACATATCTAACATAAAAAGGGTAATGAACTTATTTTAATACGAGGAGATGGTTGTTGCTTCATTGCCGGTTCTTTGCCTACAAAACATTTTCAACCATTTGAAATATAATGATTTCTATTCTAGAAGATCTTTGGTACTTCTTAACCGTTATTGGTGCATATCTCTTATCCCAGAATTATGGAGAAACCCATTTTATTTTTCATTAAAGACTAGTAATCAAGTTAAGCTAATAAACACTTATCTGAAATGCCTACCTCCGAATGTTAGAGAAGATCTTGCTATTCCCTGTTGTCTTAGACTACCCACTGCCTTCGATTATCCATATTTTTTGCAAGAATTTGAGCCCGATGGTATTTATAAGTTCATCAAAAATTGGGTTGCAGCAAATACTCCTGGTAATTATGTGGAAGACAGGGTTATTGTTTTATTTGGAGCTTTGGTCGAGAACTTTATTGCAAATGCCAGTAATATCCAAGAAGTTGTTCTATTTTGGGATCAGCCATTGAACATGTTTAACTTCCCTAGTTCCAAAACCTCTTTGTCACAAATCCAAAGATTTAAATGTTTTACCATGTTTAATGACAGCATACAGCAAATTTCCGACATATTCAATTCAGCATACCCAATCTCTCAAAACATTCACACTATAGATATATCCATCTATGACTATAAAATAACAGATAAATCACGGCAATTATTCGAAAACCTTTCGCAACTTATTAGGCATCAACGATCTTTAAAATCAATATCCATTGAATGTCGTGAGCCCGATTTTTATCCCCTTTGGAAGAGTATCTTTCTGCACACGGACAGCATAAGAGAAATTGAGTTTTGTGACATTGCTTTTAGTAAAAGATTTCCTTTTCCTCTTCAAGTTCTGGGATCTTTTATTCATTTGAAAAATTTGTTTATTTATGATTGCAAGAACCTCTCTTTCGGCCCTAGAAAAATCAGTCCAAGCGCATTTCAGAAGCTGTGTTCGTTTCATATCAACCATTGCGAAGGATTTCCCATGGAATTTGTTAAATTCGTACTGAGTCAATCGAATAGTAATTTGAATGATATGAGATATATCAATAAGGAGGTATCTGTAGAATTTATCGGCCTATGTTCAACTTATTGCACGAATCTGACCTCTTTCAGAGCGATGATCAAAAAGGATCAGATTCCATCAATACTTAATTTGTGCCAGCAGTGTAAGGGTCTTAAAGATCTCAGCGTATACGATTCATCTCCATACCCATACTCGGACAAACAAGTTGCTGACGAAGATGGAAATGAATTTTTAGAAGAACTTGGGAAGGTCTTACCAAGAAAGTTGAACTGTTTTAGGTATCAATTGAATTGGAGCTTTTCTCCGGAAACATTGGAATCTTTCTTGACCAATTGCGCAGCTAGAGAACTTCGGATCTTGGATTTAGATTCCTTCAAAGAATTTAAAGATGAGCACTTAGAAATTATAATTAAATATTGTTCTGGTTCTTTAGAATATCTGAGACTTTGTGATAGGGAAAACGTTAGTCCACAGTGCTTGCATAGGGCGAGAGGTGTAATTGAAGAAATTGAATTCCAGAATTTAGCTTGATGAAGGGTGAATTATATAAGTATTGCTGCTAGTGTCATCGACTTGTCTAATTATTGCATGAGTAAAAAGATAAAATTTTTGTAAAAAGAAAAAAAACTTAAATAATATAAATATGTAAAAAAAATCTTTTTATAGCATTTTTAAAATACAGTATGGAACATTCAAAGTCGAAAATAATTATTTAGATATAATTGCTTATAGTTTATCAATATTTATTTAAATATTACAAAATTTAAATATATTTTAAATTAATATTCATAAATAGTATTACTATCTCAGATATTAGGTGTTTACTTATGATAGATCCAAGGTTCTTATGAAGCTTGGAAAATACATTTATTAATAACTTATTTTCTAAAGTTTCAGATCTAAGAAGAGTATAGTAAAAGATATTTTTTTAACAGGTTTCTTCTTTTCAGTAAGGTATTTTTGTCATAAATTAAATGAGTAAAGTTCTATTTATTTTGTCATTGAAATATACAAAGTTTTTTAAAGAAAAAAAGATAGACAAGTGGGAAAGGTATTAGCCTTTAGAAAGTAAGATATTAAGGAAAGTATATAGACTTTATTATCAATAATAAAAAATATTTTTAAGAATATTTGTTTTTTTTGAATTGACAAAGGGTTTAGCAAAATAAAATAAAAATTATATATAGTTATTATAGTCAGGCTTATAGTTTTGTCTTTTCAGTTTTTTAAAACTTGTTGATATAGTTTTTATTTATCATAGATAGTAAAATATATTTGAAGTTATTTATTGTTATAATTGTTATTATTGTTATTATTGGATTGGTAAACTGGTTTAAATCAGTTTTGTTATTTTGATTTAAATAATATAATGGATTTAGATTGAATGGTTGCCAGGTATTGATCAATTGAAGGGAATAAATTGATTTCAATTTTTAAGATTAAAAAAGTTTATAGATTTTTTTGAGTAGTGCAATAAGTAATATCAGAATAAAAAAGTATGTAAAAATTGTGTTAAAACAAATATTAGATCTTAAAACTTTGTTTGAGTATATTTTTTGAAAAGTATTTATGAGTTTAATGAATATAATAATATTAATAAGAGTGATTTTTATAATAATAAAAGGATTTTAACTCTTTCCACTAATCCTTTTGTCAATTCAAAAAACAAATATTCTCAAAAATATTTTTTATTTTTGATAATAAAGTCTATATACTTTTCTTAAAAATTTTACTTTCTGAAAATTAATACCTTTTTCACTTGTTTACTCTTTCTTTTTTAAAAAACTTTGTATATTTTAACAACAAAATAAACAAAATTTACTCATATAATTTATAGCAAAAACACCTCCTTAAGTCTGAAACTTTAGAAAGTGAACCATTAATAAATATATTTTCCAAGTTTCATAAAAACCTTAGATCTACCATAAGCAAACACCTTGGGTTTGAGGCAAATAGATAAGCTAATTGATGCTTATCAAACAAATGCATTTTCCAAGCTCCATAAGAATCTTAGATCTACTATAAATTAAAAACTCCTGTGGTTCAAGCAGGTAAATAAGCTGATAGAAGTTTACCTGTTCAAGTATATGATCTTTTTTCACTAATTATACATATCTGTGATAGTATTCTCAAGCATGTCAAAATTTTCTTAGTTTTTTCTAAAAAATTTTATCTATTTCAATTTAATCTTGAATTTTTAGTTACACCAGAAATTTCGATTAATGATTGGCTGAAATCTTGAACTGGTTAATTGACACTTAAAAGAAATATAAACAAGACATATACCCATATATGCTCCATGTTATACTATATTACAACCAATGATGCAATTGAATAAGGCAAAAAAGTAAGGTGTCAAGGAGTTCTCTTGATAAAAAATGACTTAAAGTCTTCACTCTCCCCTCTTGTACTGGTTTCTTTTTTTTAAAATCAAAGAAGGTTCTCATTAAACTGGTGATTGATTTTGATAGGTTTTTATTTTACCAATATAAATTTTTTTTTTCTTTACTTTAGGATCACAAAAGTTAAGTTGGGATAATAATCTTGATAAAGGGTTAACTTTAAAATTTTAGAATAACAAGAAACATTTTTCTTTAATTAAGCAACTTTTTCATTTTCCTTAATTATATTTAGAGACCATTGGCTATTAACAAGTATATTATATAAAATTAAAAAATTTAATTATTAGTATATATAAGAAATATCTATACTAAGGTCTATTTAATCCTAGAGTTTGAAAACTAAATAAACTTGAAATATATAATCTGATTAGATATAAAATAATAATAATAATAATAATAATAATAATAATAATAATAAAAGGATTTTAATTATAAAAGAAGCAAAAAATAAAAGTGTATTGCTATAAACCTTTCTTTATATAATTGAAGAATAAACAAAACTTTCAAACTTAATAAATTTCAATTAAAAATCCTATCCTACTGAACTAATTATTTTTAATTTTCTTAGGTTCTTGAGCTAAACTTACTTGTGATAAAGAATATAAAGTATTTTTCTTTAATTAAAATTATTATAAATAGAAATTTTAAGCAAAATAGATATAATTAGGAAAAGAAAAAATTAAAAAAATTTTTTTATCCCTTAATTTGTAGGTCAATTTTTGATAAATTTTAATACTTATTTTTGTAATACATTTTTAAGAAGAATATTATTATGTTATTTGCACTTTGACCATTAAGAAAAAAGATTAATCTTGTCCTGAAGATTTAAATGAGCTAAAATATATAATAAAAGAATACATGATTAAAGAGTAATATATATCAGGAGATATAAACCAATTTTGTTGACAAATAAAATTGTAAGCAAATTTGCCTACAATATAGTTTAAGGGATAAGATAATAATTATAATTTTATTTAAAAATATTTAAATATTAATTAAAAAATTATAATATATAATTTAATTAATTTATAACTTTTTAAAACCTAAATTAAATTAAAATTTTTTTAAAATTATAATGTAATATAATGTTTTAATTTTACAATTAACAAAAAAATATATTATATATACAATAAATATGTATATAAAAATAAATTAAATTGTTTTATTAAAATTTGCAACATTATAAAAAAAATAATTATAATTATAATTATAAACATAATTAATTATTGTTATTTTTTTATTTATTATATATATAATTAAAAAATTTATATTTAATGTTTGTAAATAAGTTTAAAGTTACTATCTTATTTTATTTAAAAATATTTTTTAAAAATATTTTTTAAAAATAAAAAAATAACAACTATTTATTTTTTATTTGTAATTTTATAAAGTAATCAAATTTTAAATATATACAGTATATCTTTTAATATTTGAACTTGATAAAAAATTAAATTTAAAAATAATAAATTTAAATAAAATCAATCATACAGTATATGCAGTAATTCTATTAATATTAAATTCAAATATGCATTGCTTTTAATTTTTATACAAATTAATTTCTTAATACTGTATGTATCAAAATAATCACCCAATTATGTATACAGTATATTTACGCATAAATATATTTTAATATAAGAATAGTATTATACGGTTTTGTTAAAACTCAAGACGAAAATACTTTACACACATTATATACGTATATGATAGTACAGTAACAAATAAAAAATTCGATAAAAAGAATAACTTCGATTCATTTTTACAGTAGATTAAAACCAAACCTAAATATTTACTGAGATATTGAGGGAAAAAAAAAACAGTTTATGCTGAATAAGAAATACCTTCTTTGCAACACTAATTGGAACCACTGTTTTTGTTAAAACAAACAATCTCCCATCATCAACAGTCAATTATACTATGTTGTCTCGGATTCAACGAAAGACACGAGTTTATTTTATACTAAAAAAAAATTTTTTCTCTTTGACGGTCGTCCATTTCCCTCTCTTCATTCTCGTATTCCTCCTCATTATTGCAAACGACTCTTGGTTCATAATCCCGGTATGTATGGTCAATGTTTTTCCATGAATTTCTGTTGAGCTTCTTACGCGAAGGTTCTTTGTCCATGGGTTCGTCTGTTATATTGTCCATTGTAATTCTTTCGGAAAACTCTGAAGTTTCTTTTCCGGTGGTTGAAGGCTTATTGAAAGAATGATCGAACGGGAGAGACATCTCTTTGATGGCTCGATATTCAACACAATTTTTGATATGCTATAATAGTGAAAAGATAAATAATCATGATAAAAGAAAGTACAGTATATGCTGATTGAGGAAACATACTTCGTTTTCCACTCGAATAATAATCCATTGCCACCGACTTATTAGCAAACAAAAGTCATCAAAGGAGATTAGCAAATAATCATATTTTCGTGCATGGACACCATTTTACTTACCGAAATATTTCTCCGAAAGCAATGATATAAGCCATTGTTATTTTATCTGTATATTCGACAGGCAACGTGAGATTCAAGATCCAGCTGAATCGGAGAAATAGATTTGAAATTATCGCGAAATAATAGAACGAATGGTGCTTGAAAGCTAATTCATCCCGCAACAAGAAATTCGAACTATTCAACATAAACAATGACCAATCCATACGGACATCCCATAAGAATGTATACACTGATGCAATTATTAGAATCCCTATAAATGATGCAAATAACCCGATTGACTTTTCTGTGTTATATAGAAGACGTTTGAAATAGAAAGGTCAAAATTTACACCATCATTATTCAAAAAGTCATTAGAATAGAAATGCACACCATTTATATGCCAAAGAAATGACAGATAAACCATTATGATTGTCGAAAAATATTTTCCCGCATTTATCAGATGAATGTACGCTCGACCTGTATCATGGTAACGCCTAAAGCATTGAAGAAGTCGCCACAATGGGGGTAGCATTGCTATCAACGGGGTGTAAATGAATTGTGAGGTCGACACACAATCTAGAATTGTTGTATCCCCATTAAAAAATTAATAAGCAATTTTTACTAGGCTGCATTAAAAATAAATTTAACTTACTATCACCAAAACACCCGATATTGTGTAGAAACGGTCTCCAAAGTAATTGTGTGTTAACCATTGAAAACGTCAAACTGTTCAATCCATCTGCAACAAAGAAATCGCGAAATTCGATACGAAAGAGTGGAGCCAGTACGATACGTTTCTAATGTGATAATGACAGGAAATTTTAATCAAATTAAAAAAGTCATGACATTCACTTTAGCATTAACTTACCAAAGCATCCATCAACCACCTTCTGGCGTCATAGTAGAAGATATTAAAAGGGAGAAAAGTTATAGAGAAAAAGATTGCACCTAATATATGTGGAAAGTAGACGCTGACAGGGTTCAAAGACATCGAACTTTCTAATGCCATTGTGCCTGCTAGCAACAAGAACATCAGGGCTGGAATCTTCAGGAAAAACACAAAAAAAAAAAGGAATTTTGTTATTAAATTCCGAAGCTCAAGTATCGGATCAAAAAAACCGAGATTGCAAGGTTACGGTACCTCTAGGAATTCTCGATAATCTAAACTGTTTCTTGGATTAAATTCAAATATAAACTTATAATTTATACGCGTTTTTGTCCAAA